CACCGTGCTGGTCTGCACAGAAACGGGGGGGAAACGGAATGACAGCGACCTTCTCCCTCCTCCCCCTCCCCCGCCACAGGGCAGAGCTGGGCAAATGCCTGTAAATAATGCACTTAACACCCCCTTCTGTGGCCCTCCTACCCCCCATCTTTCAATCAAATCGGTACTAGAACAATTTTAAAACAGCATAGTAGAAATGTAATGACAGGGAAAAAAAAAGCCTATGGTTTCTGTTAATCTAACAGCCTCCCTTCAAGGACTTTATCTCAAAATACAAGAAATAAGCGAAGACTCTTCACCTCTGTCTAACAGGTCTGTAACGTGGCCTCCCCTGTACTTAGAAACCAAGGTAGTGCCTCTGCCCGCCCTCTGTAGATGACAATTAAGTGAAGCTCAGCTTCAACTCCAAACAAATATTAAAAGCTAGATATTAATCTCCCTCCTCATCTCCCAGCTGAAAAAAGTACTCGAGTCAAACAGACATCCAAATATCTAGGTGAGACACAGATAAAAACCCCTAATAAACCTTTAATTCGAGTTTGGTTTGGTTTTTTTTTTGTTTGTTTTTACAGGACAGGGTGACAAATTACAACAAACATCTCATTTTTCCTCAAATGTCCAGGTATTATACACATTCCCATCTGTCTTGCAGGAAGGGATATTGGTCAACTTAACAGTTTAAGGTAAAATAAGCTACATAATAGTACATATTACAATAATAAAATGTACAGTGTTTACAAGAAATATATTTTAGAAGCAAGATAGATGCATTTGCATCAAGGCGACCTTTTAAAATGCCACAACTATTTTTACATTCACTCTTGCAACAGGTCACAAGATGGGGTGTCACTAAGGTCAGGTTAACGAATCACTATGATGCACATCAAATACAATGAAATTAGTTTATATACATATATATAATACATATACATGTATATTATACATATACATATATGTATATAGTAAAACTCATCAAAATCTACCAGACCTGGCACAATCTACTTACCCATCAAAAATATGTACTTGTCCTTGGTAAGTAGAATTCTGCATGGCTGATTATATATTATATATACTCATTCATTAGCATCTGAGACATAAAACTGAGGATTTAAAATTTTTCGGTTAACAAACTCTCCAATAATAAACATGGTGCCCACAAAAGCACAAAGGTAAGGCACAATAGGATTTTCTGTTGCAGAATAGTGTGCATCATGTTTACTTAACCATAAGAAAAACGTGCATTATTTGTGCAAGTTCATGCTGCAAATCCATCCTATCTACAAAATAAAGTGAGTTTCAGTAAAATCTGTGGGACTGGTGTGCTTCCAGTCTCACCTCCTACAGGATACTCCGCTGGATAATTAGATACAATTGTTGTAGAAGTGGGGATTAGTAAAGCCAATAATCTTAGATTTGCAACTAAGCTTCTCAGCAACAATTTTGTACTTCTAGGTAAACCTTAGTGAATTTACGAGCTTGGAATCACAATATTTACTGTCAGCTGTACTTCTAGTTCACATCAGCAAAATTGTTGCAAGGAAGTATGTACCTTTCAAACTTTTAACAGGTAACTGGTTCATTAGAACAAGTTATAATGTATTGCGAAAAATCACTTAATCCCAATGGTATTTTGTCACAGCCCTGGCATTTGCAATAATAAATACAGCTTTTCACAAAATATTTTTCCAGTATCTGCCAATTGCTTCTTTATTGCTCACAATTTTGAATTCATTACAATTGGTATCAGACCTTTCACACAAAATCAGTCAGGTATTTTAATATAAAACCTATAAAAGATATTTAACCTGTATCTAACACTTTAAGGTATTTGGCCTCTTGCCATGGTACAGCCAAAACCATATAAAACATTAGGTTTTGAATAAAATAGGAAGCTTATTCACTGCTTCAATTGCAGACATCCTCACAGAACACAACCATTTTTGCCACCACCAGCATTTACATTTATATACAAAACCTAGTACATCCGCATTCAGTTCATTTTCCCTCACTTATATGCAACCACTAATGCCAGATTAACTTTCCCCATACCCTAGCTGCAGAAAAAGATTTTTATACAGCAACAAAAAACTAATATTGACTGAAAAGTATTTTTTAACTTATTCACCATCAGGAACTGTAGGTTGGTTGTTACAAAATACCCACAAGTTTATATCACAGGAAACTATGGAAATACAGGAAGTGTCTTCTTTTCTCCATGCTTTTGTATTATCAAAAACACTTCTTGGTGCAAAAATACAGTCACCACATCTGCAAATGTATAATGAGTTCGGTATTCCTCATGCAAAACTTAAATGCATTGGTTTACTATAGCCCCGGAAACTTCCTGAAGCGAGTGTTTTTTTCTTTTTTTCTTTTTTTTTTTGTCAGCTCAGTATTACTGCCTCATTGCTAAGTCCCTTTGGAAACAAGATTTCTGGAACGTTCAAACTTTTATTTAATTCATTAAAGTATTACATACAAAAAGCACTAAAAAAGGAAGACGGCAGCCAAACAGGAAAATTCCTGTTGCAAGTAACAGTCCTAGCAGTTGTAGAAAGTCTTCTCAGGAACCTCCCTGAGAATTAGTTGTGCCTGTCCGAAGACGCAGATGTGACATAGAGTTCATGTGTTTGTTTGATGGCTTCAGTGGAGTGTTACAAGTAAGAGCCTGGGGAAAACGATGATGATACCGATCTAGTCGCAGATATTTTACCGTTACCAGCTTTCCTATGAAGCAAAGAAATAGGAAAAGAGAAACCTTCTAGTTCAGTACTATCACATTTTTGTTCAGGACATAATACACACAAACATGTCATTACACTGAGGTTAGTTTACCAGGTGATGACTACTGAAAAGATCCAGTTTTTGTTACAGCTCAACACTTTATATCTAAAGCATTTCGCCATTTACAAGAACTCCAACTGCACCCATCTTCTGTCAGTTCTACTCATGTTTTGTTATAAACCCCCATTCCTTACCATCAAACCAAGAGCCGTGCAATGCCTTGAAAGCCTTTCCAGCATACTCTGGAGAGAGACACTTGACGTATACACAACCCTGCATTAAGAGAGAGAGGGGTTTGGTTTTTTTGAAGTCCAACAGAAAAGGATAAACAAAGCATTAAGATGTTACAGGAAAGGCGCTCACCTCACGTGAATTTTTGTCAACAGCAATATGAACAATTCCATCATTATCACTGCATTTCTCCAAGATTGCTTCTTGAATTGCTAGATGCCAGTGATCACCTATTTCCCTAAGCAAACAATGAAAGATTTAATTAAGAACATAATTTTTTAAGCATTCACAACAATCTCATCCTTCCCCACCGAGTTTGGTTTCTCTGCAACTTGACATCATTCTCTGTTAAATGCCTTTGGGACAGATCTTGTACTTTAGCTATTGAATATTCAGAAAATGGGGTCCTATGGTCCACTTCAGAAAATTCAGCCCTAAGAATCAAAAGGAGTAATCTGTATTTGGGGGGGTTGTCCTTCCCTTCCAGCAGCCTGCCTTCACCTTCCTGTCTGAAACTGCAAGCAGTCATAAACTCGTCTTCCCACACCTGCTCTGTCAGGCTGGCCATTGTTGCAAGGAGAAGGCCACTCCTAGACTGTTCCTACTGCAGAGGAAGAAGAGCAGGAGAAGACAACACCGCAAAGGCCTCTGCCCCTTTACTGAATCACCTCTACCAGCAGTCACAGAAGCAACATTCCATGTCAGACTTTGGCAGGCTGAAGGAGCTTTTTAGCTATTCAGATCCTCTTCATCACTGAAACAGCTATTCACTATCCCAAACAAAGCATCAAATTGCATTCATCCCATCGGATACTGACAGAACGTACCGATCTAGATCCAGAAATAGAAGTTATTACAGTCTGATTCCAATTTTGGGGGCTTTTCACAAAAAAAATATATTTAATTGTCAAGAATAATCAATCTTTAGGTACATCATTAGAGAACACAGAATTCTATGTATTTTTGTGAAAATACTACAGGAAATATCTGGTCCTAATAAAATAAATCTAAGCAGAGGGAAAACAATTTCAACAGATTTAATACACCTTTAATCCTGCCTGAATAGTCTTTACACAAAAACCAATGAACTTACTCTTTCAATAATACTATCAAGAGCTCTGGGTAGTTTTAAAGAGTTTTCTCCAAATAAGGCAAATATTCTTGAAATATTTAATCTACCTTCATCCTTACTCATTAAAAAAAAAAAGGTGGCAAGGGATGGAATGTACATAGGGAAGTTAATAGGTCAGGGATGTTACTTTGGAGCAGGACACTAACTCAAGACTTGAGGGACTCCAGCAACATGGAATTTGTTTCTAGATTTGTTTCTGTCATTTCACCTTGACTGGTTAGAGGATCAGACTTTCCAGCTGATGCCCCGGACACTGGCAGATAATACATAAACAAGCAAACAAAAGTAAGAGGGGGACACAAGGGTGCAAAGAAGATCCAAATGAAGGTCCTACTGGGGGAGACACTTTCCAGTGGAAACCACCTGCAATCTAAAACCCTGCAAAAGTTAGGAGAAGATGCACCCTACTCAGATTGGAAGAAAGAAAAAAGTGTTTTCTTTTTACTAGCTAGCTCAAAATGAAGGGCATATACAAGTCTCCTTCCCGTTCTCAAACAGTGTAAACAACAGTATTTTCTAAATAACATGCTGTGTGTGCTCAGGATGTTAGGGAAATAAAGTAATTCCAAGTTGCAAAAGCCAGGACTTTTAAAGGTCCCCTCCAACCCAAACTATTCTATGATTCTAAGAAACCTTGACTTCAGTGCATTGCTTCCCAGCCCAGGACTCACGTCCAGATTTTCTCGAGAAGCATGCTGCCGTCAGCAGAAAGCCAGCTACCATAAGAAGAGATCGCATTATTAAGAGCAGGCAATCATCTTTTCTGCTGTTTATTCTTCCCAAATACCAAAGTCACTGCATTACTCCCAAGTGCTCCTTTCCTGTTTGCAAATGAAGCAGAAGTGCATTCTCAGCCTAGTCTGCTGCTTGTGTTTTGCAAACCTGGGACATGAAACATCACAAGTTACCAACTAACTTGTATTTCCCATAATGAAATACACTCCCAGCAG